TAATTTCAATGAAAATTAAAATAGGGCAGTCTGATAGGACTAGTTCCAATCACTTTGTTGCCAATTCTGTGTTAGGATAATCTTCATTTATTGGTGTTATTTTGTAAAAGTCATACATATCCATCCTTCGTGCAGATCCAGGAATATATTTTGTAAAATAAAATAACACTTTAAGGATGACACCGTTTTTTCTTCTTTACATTCTTAAATTAATATGCTTTCTGACTCAAGCATGGCAGCTACTTAACATTTGCCTTGCATTTTGTGCAAATTTAGTGATTATGCTATTTCAACTTGAGATACCTTAATTTTTCCTTTTTACTAGTGTGTGTTTCCATTCCCAGCCTTTGCAAAGAAATATACTTTTGTGACCATCTCCTGCTGTTGATCCCTGAGTTGTAACCCCTGCCACACTCTCTCTAACTTTGGGGTTTATGTGCCATGCACTACATAATTCTTTCCCATCAATGGGATCATTGTACCAATGGAATCTGCCTCCACTTCCTTAATAGAACCTTAGCTCTTGAATTTTACAGCTGTAAATATTAGGAAACGGTGTTTGGTTTAGAAAGCACCCGATAATGTCAAAGCCAAAATGGTTACTTAGGGTGCTTCCATGCAAGGATTTTGCACCAGCTCTGGTCCTCTGTGATCCCAATATATCAGCAGTGTTTGGGATTGGAGTCAATTCATCTCAGACTCAACCACAATTTATTTGAAACTGACGCAGAACAGCTTTTTGCTTTTTCCTGGAAATCCTGTAAGTATATGGAGCAAGTGGACAGACTAGTTCCCCTGAGTGGAAACTCTTAGTACAACACATATTCATAGTCAAGGTTTTTAAAGGAGAATGGAAATTTGAGGGTCTTTGCAGCTCTCCTCAACAAAAGAATCTTTTTTATTTGAGAAGGGCATCTAAACAGATCAAGCCATACAATATGAAGGCTGTGTTGGTCTTATCCACATACCCATTATCCTTTCGGGAGTCACTGAGCTGCATTTTCCCTCTGCATTGAGTTATACAGGTAGTCCTCGACTTAGGACCAGAATGGAGGCCATCATTTCTTTTGCTAAGCGAGATGGTTGTTAAGTGAGTTTTGCCCCATTTTATAACCCTTTTCCACACCATTGTTGAGTGAATCTGCAGTTGTTAAGACAGTAGCACAGTTGTTAAGTAAATCTGGCTTCCTTTTTGACCACGTGACCTGGAGCCACTACAACTGCCATAAATAGGAACCAGTTGCCAAACATCTACATTTTGATTAGGTGACCATGGGGTGGCTGACATGGGGAGGCTTAAGACTTAAGCAGTCTTAAGTTTGAGTTTGAGTTTTATTTAGCTTGTATGCCGCCCTACTCCCGGAAGACTCAGGGTGGCTAACAATAAAAAGGGAAGGGGGGGTACAAAAATAAAAACAACAATTAAAAATTCAGCAACAGTCATAACATAGGATGGGGCTGAATAATTCAACAGCCCCAGGCCTGCCGGAACAGCCAGATCTTAGTTGCTTTGCGGAAGGCCGGAAAGGTAGTAAGGGTCCNCCCAGCTTCTGCCAACCTAGCAGTTTGAAAGCATGTAAAAATGCAAGTAGAAAAATAGGGACCACCTTTGGTGGGAAGGTAACAATGTTCTGTGCGCCTTCGGTGTTTAGTCATGCCGGTGACCACGGTGTCTTTGGACAGTGCTGGCTCTTCAGCTTTGAAATGGAGATGAGCACCACCGCCTAGAGTTGGGAACGACTAGCACATGTGTGCAGGGGAACCTTTACATTTAACTCACCAAAATGGCCATTTAGTGTTTCTTTTTTTAAAAAAGAAGTGATTCCTCGCAGACGGATTCCAGAGTTTGGGTGTATAATTTAATATCACACCAACATTTTTTAAACATTTAGAGATATTTCCATGAATCTAATTATGTATATTGAAACACTATTCAGAAATATCAAAAATTAACAGGATTGTATCGTATGGGTCAATGACCCCTTAATCTTATACACTTCCAACAGGATGGGTGACACTAACATAGTTTTATATGTTTTTCTTTTGCAGTGAATATTCTAACCATGGACTGGCCTGTGTGTCTATGTGTATGTTTGTGCATAGAATATTTATTTTTATACACTGTTCTTTTTTTAAAGTACCGACAGATATGCATAAAAAGCTGCATATTTTTTTGTACATAAAATGCTACAATTCCACTTTATAGCTGTCTGCCAGTTGCTTGTATAATTATATATATGTTGATAACTCTGCTTTTTGCATTGTGGAATTCAGCTGCAATATTGGCATGATATTTGTGCACTCAAAAAAGTGTTACAACTTAGTAAGCTATTGAGTAAAGATGCTAGGAAGAACCATTCTGTGTATATACAAAGACCAAAAAAAAATGGCAATGAGTGCAAGGACATATTAAAATGCTATGGATTTTTATTATTAAAAGGAAATGAAAAGGCATTTGTAAATAAATTCTATATTGGTATTTGAATGTGTAAAATGAAGTCATTGTAGTAAGAGGTAACTGTGGCAATTCATTTTCATGTGCACTACACACAAAGGGTAGAAGCACAACATTGTTTGAAACTGAGGATAACCAACTAGTCATATGTACACACCCTACAAAGATTGTCTTTAATGAATCAAGACCAAGTTGATTCCCCCCCCCAATCAGATTCTGACCAAAAGCACAATTTTTGATGCAAAATTACAGCATTCTTAAATGATAAGTCTGATCAATTTAGCAAATAATGGAAATTTCTAGCATTTGTACATAGCTTTTCAAGAGATCCAGAAACTGCATAGAATGAGCCTTCAGAGGAAAGAACCATCAGGAATGACTCTGGTCCTGTGCCCCCTCCTCCATCAATTCATTAGGTCCAGTTTTCCAATATCCTTGTGCCACTAGGTCCATTTAATGCTCTGTTGAAGGAAATGTTTTATTGGCAACAATGCAGAAAAGAAGAGGCTAACAAACAAACCTTTTTCTCACAGCTGGAAATTTTTTTTTGTAAAGAACTGAAAGGGAAATACACTGCTTTCTCTCTGCCTCATAATATCAGCATCAAGCTAAATAGAATTTGGAAGATTGAATAATGGGTTAGAATTACCATTATTAAGAGCTGTGGTGGCGCAGTGTTTAGGATGCAGTATTGCAGGCTCACTCTGCCCACTGCCAGGAGTTCCATCCTGACCGGCTCAAGGTTGACTCAGCCTTTCATCCTTCCAAGGTCAGTAAAATGAGGACCCAGATTGTTGGGGAAAATATGCCGACTCTGTAAACTGCTTAGAGAAGGCTGTAAAGCAGTATATAAGTCTAAGTGCTGCTGATAAATTCTATTATTTAAAGTGCATTGACAGAAATTTGAGTGGAGGGAAATTGTCTATTGCATGTGTGCATTTCAATCCCAACAGATCATCATGAAAGATCAGGGCTGTAGAGGAAACAGAAATAACACATTATCATTTTCTTTGACTCATATAAAACTTTCTAAAACTGCCATTTCTTGGGCCCATTCACTTCTATTTCTTCTAGGCAGCTAGCAGTTTGAGGAAAAGCTATTTAGCAAAAATGGTCCCAGAGTTGTGCTATTAGTCCCCTAAGCCACAAGATGGGTGGCAAATAAATTTGATAAACAAATAAATAAATAAAAAATCTAACTCTGTTTTCGTGCCTATATCATAGTTATAAGAACTCCGATTGCCATGTTGTGTCTTCG